TTTAGGTACTCGACATGGAAGACTGGGTGGACAGTGTTCAGGTGGAGGGAGGAGTGGGAGTAGAAGAGCCGGGTCCCGTGGAGCGAGGGGCCTGTCGAGTAAAGTGGGTAGCGTTGGGGCAGTTGGTCTGTTGATGACCTAACTGGCGGCAACGAAAACACCCGTTGTGTTCCTGGAGGTATATGCGTGCTGTGGGTGTGAGTTTTTGGAGGCGGCTGGGTGGAGAGGAAGAAGGCGGTCAAGAGGCAGTGTCGAAGTCGTCATCGGAGGTAGGTTGAGTGGTGTTGTTATGGAAAAAGAGGGGGCGGGAGGGAGCGGGCGCGGACTGGTGATGGGGGTGGAGGAGTCGATCATGGTGAAGCATGCGAGAGAGGAGGTCAGCAAGGGGCATGTCGGATTCGTGGGCGAGGGCGGTGGCAAGGTCTTTGTGGCATACTCGTTTGATGCGGGAGATGAACGCGCAATCGGGAATGACGGTGTGGGGGAGGTGGTGTCGGAGGGAGCGGACGTATTGGACTAAGCGGTCCGTGGGACTGGTCTGGCGGAGGTGGCAAAGTTGTTCAAGGTAGTCGTCAATGGTTTTCTGGGGGCGGAAGGTGGCAGTGAGGAGGGTGGCCCGTTGGAGGAAGGTGTAGCGTGGTCCTCCGGAGGCTCGGCGGTTGCTAGATTCAGCCATCCACCATTTGGCTGCATTGCCGAGGAGGCGGGAGGTGGCAATGGGGAGCCAGTGGGCAAGGGGCATGTGGTGGAGCTGAAAAGAGTTCTGAAGCTGGGTTAGGAAGAGGAAAACGTCCTCGTGGGGGAGGCCGGAGAAGGACGTGATTTCGTCAGATCGGAAGGAACGGGGGATTTCCCCGTCGCGGTAAACGATCTGCGTGAGGGTGTTGAAGCTGAGGTTATCGGGGGTGGTGTCGTAGCAGGTGTGGTCGATTTGGTTGTTGTCCTCAAGGAGGTAGTTGGGGGGAAGTTGTGGCATTGCGGGGAAGGCCCCAGAGGTGACTTGGGAATAGGTGGGACGGATGGTGGGGATGATGGAGGTGGTCATGATGGGTTGGGAGAGGGTTTGGGAGTGCGCGGGGGGGAAGAGGGGTGAATTTGATGGGCGAGGAATGAGGCGGTGTGCTGGATGCGCCGGATGAGGGAGGAGGTGGAGGGAACGGAACGATGGTGGGGATTGAGGGGTTGGTGGATATGGCGGTAGAGGTGGTAGGAGTGGAGGAGGTCGGCGGGGGGGTGTTGCTAGAGGCGGCTGTGGAGGAGGGAGTGGTTTGCGCTGTGGGGGTTCGGAGTGGTTTGCACTGTGGAGGTTGGAGTAGTTTGCACTGTGGGGGTTGGAGTGGTTTGCGCGGCGGTGACGACCATGATGGAGGGGGTGGTCCCTTCGAGCGTGGTGACGCGGTCGCATATGGACGACATGTTGGCCTTCATGTCGTCGAGAGAGGCGGTGACGGAGGTTCGGAGGGTGTTGAGTGCGTGGAGGATGGCGGAGAGGTCGAGGGTGGCGGTGTTTGTTGGTGGTTGTTCGCCTGCGAGGTTGCGGGCGATGCTATCAACTGAGTCGGTGCGGATGTCAGACATGTTGATGGAGGATGCGGCCATGTCAGGGGAAGAGGGGGTGGAGAACGTGGCCTGAACGGGTGTGGAGGATGCCGCAGCAGCGGTGGCGSCGGCGGCGGCACGTTGGGAGTTCTTGGTTTGGCGTGGTGGCATGTGGAGGGTGGGGGGGGAATCCCTTATTTATTTATTAATAAATTCAAAAATAAAGATAATCCGCAAGGTTTTTTTTTTCAAAAATAAAAACTGAACAGAAAGAGTTAATTAATTTCGAAAAAATAAATTCTGATTTAGATTTAAATTTATTTACAAAAAAACGTGAAATTTCGAAAGAAAATATTTTCGAATTACGGGGACAAAATGAAGAAATAAATAAAATTCTGAAAAAAAAAAAATTAGGAAGAGGAAAATTTTAAAATATTTGGCAAGAATTTTTCAAAAAGGAAAATGTCCACATTTCATAAAAAGGATAATTAATTTCGAATAAAGAGATTAATTCAGTCGTGAATTAAGGACTTGAATCAAAGGCCTTTCCCTTACCAAGGGAATGCTCTACCACCTGAGCTACGTGGGCTCACAAGGAAATTGAATTTAGTCGAAATTAATTGAGGGGTTTAGAATAACATTTTTAAGAGAAAAGTACTTCCGAATTGTAAAAAGAGTTTCGAATTTCAACAAAAATTGCGAAAAGAAATTGTGAATTAAAATACTGGGAAAAAGAATTAATTAGAATTATTTTTGAATTTCCAAAAGAAATATCGAAAAAGAATTTAATTAATAGTAACGTATTTTCAAAATTTTCGAAAAAAATAAAAATAAAAATAAAAATAAAAAAATTAAGTAGAAATGTTTTGAAAAAGAAATATTGAAAAAGAAA